TTGTAGTAATTGACTTCCTGATCCAGTCTCATTGGAGGAGTCTTTATTATATAGTCTACAAGGCAACTTAGCAGATTTCACCACAGCCTATATCAATAAGATCATAGCTAACTGCTTGCTGTCCCTGCCCCTAAGGTCAGGGTTTATCTCCTTCAACACCATACTGCACCTGGTTTTCCTCACATCACACTATGAGCTTAATGCTCTGGAAATGGGGGCTGCTATAAAACTAACACAAGAGTCTTTATTTTTGACCTAGAAGTTTATGTTTGTCGACAGCACCCATTAAACATGTTACTTTACAAGTAGTGGGAAACCTGGAACCCTTCAAGTTCTTGATACTCCCAGTTACCACTCCAATGGGACTGGATCAGGAAAACACAATTAGGGTAGGGAGGAGGTGCAGCTTTGCTGTTATTTCAGACTTAGGAACATGTACACAGAAGAAAAAACCAAATGTCAAAAAAACCAAGCTAAGATTCACACACTTATTCCTTTCCTGACATAAACATATCAATACATACCAATCAACTCTATGAACAACAGAGCAAGGGTTTCAACAAACCCTTTGAAATCCAGATCCCCTTGCAAAATACAGTTCTCACAAGAGAAGATGGAACACACACATAGAAAGGAGGAGAGAGAAATGAGATAACAGAAAATTAAAATGTGGCAAAAACTAGAGATTGGCAAATCTATATTTATTCCAAACCTCTTCTAAGTAAGACCAGGTCAACAAGAGAGAACAATCACACACACACAAAAATGGACCTATGATAGACAGTGTGGTTCTCCAAGGACATCTGTGGCAGAAGGCATCTCTGTTCCTAGCATCTCAAGTGCTACCCAGGGTAGTGTTTTCGGATCAAGTTTCTGAGAACATTGTTGTGATGTGGTACAGCATTCTTCTTCTGTACATGACACTTATGATTACATATCATCCATACATGGTTCTGTGGGCCTTGAAAAATTTTATAAGGTACTCAATACCATTTTCTATTTAAATGGCCTAGAATGGATTAGGTTGCTTGCAGCTGAAGAAATCTTCCTGATATATTTGAGAAAATAAACTTAAGTATATTAGTGCAATTTCCAGTATTTATTATTGGTTTTAATTAGTTATACATGACAGCAGAATGCATTTATGTACTTCAATAGAGCATACATAAATGGGGTATAATGTCTCATTTTTCTGATTGTAGAATCACATCAGTCATGCAGTCATATTATGTACATAAGGTAATAATGTCTGTTTCATTCTACTATCTTTCCTATCCCCATATCCCCTCCTCTTCCCTCACTCCCTTCTGCCTAATCTAAGGTAACTCTATTCTTCACTAGTGTCTCCCCTTCATTAGGAATTATCATCCATATATCAGAGAAAACATTTAGCCTTTGGTTTTTTTGTTTATACTTTCTTTCCTGAAAATAAGACTCTCTAACATCTGAAAATAACTATAAGATATTTCGGGTACTTCGTTTTTCATTTTATTACTAAACTATATCAAATGGGGGAAATACACTCATTTTCTATCAAAATTATAGGCAGTCAAATTATCTTTATTATGATCACACTCTGAAGAAAATCAAACAATTTTCCTTTAAAAAGCACTTTGCTATAAACATACATTGCAATAAAAAATTCCTCATTGTTCTTTATATTACTATCTCCCATTTTCTCCAATTTAAAAGCAAACAATTGGTTTCTATTTTATTTGGTAACAAACAAGTTTTATTTTTAATTTGATGATCTGCTAATATCACCCAGATTAATTCATTTTAATAAATGTGAATTAGGAAGATAATGGAATAAAATGGGCACTTAGAACAATGGCTTTATGGGAAAATTGACAATCAGCTAGTTCTAAAATAATCAAATTTGTAGAAAATTCAGAAACCCTCAAAGAAAGTATATTTATGTTAGTAAAGTGTTGCTTCATAATTTTAATGAAAATAGAGCATAATCAGTAATCTTCAGAAGAGAATCTATTTTACCTTTTTTTTAATTGAGGGTGGGGTGAGGTAAACTAAATTACCTTGTTGCAAATAGTACCTTTTAAGCTTGCCATCTGCTAGTTTTTCAAACATTAGGCTTAATAATAAGAAGCCTTTATTAAAGGGTAAAACCCACAATAAAATGAATAGCGAAAATTAAAATTTAGAATTCTCTTCCCATTATCTACTCTTTATCAGCAATATGGAATGTACCCAGAAAATGAGAAAAGGTGATTTTAAATGATGCCAACATAACTTTTCTTGATGCAAATTAAGATTTAAGAACTGCATCAAGAAATTTATTTCAGCATTTGAAGGACATCAAAAAAGTTCAATACCACCAAGTGTAACAGAAAATATAATTACTTACAACTGAACAAATTACTTTTTGTAAAAACCAATTAGTTTCAAATATAATCAACCATCTATACCATTGTAAAAATTCTCAAGAATTGAATCAAATACATGATTTCCATAGCTATCAAAGGTCAATGTTGCCAGGTGAGATAGCACACACCTTAGGAGGCTGAGGCAGGAGGATCGGCCACCCTTGGCAACCTAACAAAGCCCTAAGCAACCTAGCAAGACTATCTTGAAATTAAAAATTAAAAAATAGGCTGGGGATATAGCTCAGTGGTTAAGCACTTCTGGGTTCAATCAATGGTACCAAAAAAGGGAGAGGGGGAAGGAGTGTTGCTGCTATCCCTCCTCTACTACACTGCTATACCATTACCATAAAATAAGGCCAATAAGAGGTAGTTCAAAAAGAAATCATCCTGACAAATGTAATTAGCCGCGTTATTTGTAACAAACAATGGAAATGACCAAAATGTCTGACAACTGATAAATTAAATAAGGTGTATTCAATATATAATGGAATAATAGGTGGCAATAAAAAATGAACTACTGATACACATTCCAACAAAGATAAATCTTGAAAATATTATGTTAAATGAAAAAAGCCAGTCACAAAGAACCAATAATTGCATGATTATATTAATGTGAAGTGTCTGGAATATGTAAAACTATAGAGACAGAAGGTAGGTTACTGGTGGCCTAGGGCTAGAATGTATGAAGGAATTTTGGGGTTACAGCTAAGGGGTGAGAACTTTCTTTTGGGATCATTGAAAATACTATAAAATTGATTGTGATTAATACATCTGAATGAAAAAAATACACACTTTAAATGGGTAAATAATATGACATATGAATTTTATCCAAATTTAACTTTATTTAAAAACCACCCAAAAACTAAATTCAATTTTGAAATAAAATTTAAAAAATTTCTTCAAGTGTTAATGTCTTAATCTTAAGGATAGTAAGCCAGAACTGTTTAAAACATCAGATGAAAAAGAACACCTACACAAGAGGAAATCAAAAAGATTCAAGGAAGAAAGGAAGGAAAAGAGAAGAACAGAAAGAAGAGACAGAAGTAGAACACGAAGGAATATGAATTAAATGACACCAGCACAAGAAGCAAAAACTACAGGTGTCAGCAATGGAGAACAAAGGCAAGTCCCTAATTCCCCTGCCATCTGCCATGCGCAGAATGAGTGAAGAGGGGCTTTTTTCCAGGCCCATGGCAGCTGGACACATGCAGTAGAGAACATACATTCAGATCCTCAGTTCTACCTACTGCAGAGGGACACAAATCACAGCAACAAGGTCCCTCACCAGCCACTCACATTGTTGTCAGCTGATATGTCACAGTCAATTCATCAGCTTCACAGTTTCTAATATCATCTGATTTTGCTTCAAATAACATCTTTTAATTTTAATTTAATGTTTCTTAATTTTAAGACTTGGATTTTCTATTCCTATCACAACTAGAAACAATAAAAGGATCAAGCACCAGAGAACATTTAAAATTTAAAAAAAAAAAAAAAAAAACTACAAGTAGAGTCCAGGCATGGTGGCATAAGCTTGTAACCTCAGCAGTTTAGAAGGCTGAGAAAGGAGGATCACATGTTCAAGCCAGCCTTAGCAACTTAATGAGGCCCTAAGCAACTTGATGATACCCTGTCTCAAAATAAAAAAACATAAACAGGGCTGGGGATGTGGCTCTGTGGTTAAGTGCCCCTGAGTTCAATACTTAGTACCAAAAAAGAAAAAAATAATACAATTATAACTTTTACATATAATTTTTTTTTACATATCATTTAAAACAGATGTGCTTCATACTTATTAGCACACTGGTTTCCAAAAGTTGTTGCTCATCAGAATCACCTAAGGATTCCTTTAAAACTCCCAAGGCCACGTCACAACCAGGTCAAATAAATTGTTAAAATCCTGGAAATGAGAATCAATATCAATATATTATTTTAAAATGCTCAGGTTTGAGCATCACAACAATCATACCAAAAATCTTCTTGTCTGTTTTCATATTTTTGAAGGAGAATTAGATGAATATTAGTTAGCTTAATACTAAAATGATTTAAGTCTAAATGTAAATTTTTTGGAAAAAAAAAACAGTTTAAGAATATCTCATATAACCCTAAGATTCTTCTTTTTTCCTTCTTTTTCTTTTCTTTTTTGTGATGTTGAAGAGCAAACCTAGCGCTAATGTGATCTGCCACAGAAGTAAAGTTCCAGCCCTATAACTTTGAATTTTATTGTGACTCATATAAACTCTCAGCTTATTAGTCATGAATATTAAAACAATGAGAAGCCTCAATTAATAACATTAATGAAACTGCTTAAAAATAATATTAATAATTAAGCCTAATAGAATAAACAGTTTAAAGAACTATGGTGATATGTTTTATTGAAAAACCAGTAATTTTACTCCTAGAAAAGTAACCTAAGGAAGTAATCATGGATGTTTGCCAAGACATCTATAAGACAAATTATAACAATACAAATTGAAATTCTAGACATTCACTAAAAATAATACTATAAAAGAAAATTAAGTAGCATGCAGTATCATATTATAGTATCTACATACAAACCAGTCACAAAATAGTTTCACAAAACCCATGTATAGATTTCATATACATGGAACCTACTTGCAGTTGAACTGAATTATGCCGAAGGCCTTCCACAATAGAAGAAAATCTGTCAATTTTTCTTTCTTCTCCAGCTGAAGTTAAAGCTTCTAAAACTTCTTCAAGGCTATTGGAAATGTGAAAGTCTATTAATTAAATTGCAAATGACACAAATACCATCATGCAACTGCTTCATCCTGCTATAGGTGTCTATATGCTAAGACAACCAGTAACACTTTTAGAAGTAACTTACTGAGTACATACCATGGACCAAGCACTGTTCTAAGCATAATTTATTTGCTTCAATTCATTTAATCCTGACAATGCCCTAAGAAAATGTGCATTCATCAAATATTTATATATCACTTACCACTTATCAGTTACTATTTGAGCCACTTTACAAATATTAAATTTTTTTAACTTTTTAATTGACACATTAAAATTATACATATTTGTAGGGTTCCATGTCATGTTTCTATACACGTATATATCGTGGAATGCTGAAACTAGGATAAGCATACTCTCTCCTCAAACTTAGGTCACTTCTCTATGGTAAAAACAAACATTCAAAATCCTTTCTTCTAGCTTTCTTGAAATACACAATAGATTATCATTAGTAGAGTCAATTTACTGTGAATTAATGTATATAAAAAAAGAACATATGAAGTGAGTACTATTATTAATCCCCACACTAGATTAGGAATTGGAAGCAGAAAAATGTTAAGCAACTTGTTTAGTGGCTCACATCTGCTACATTGTGGAACAAGGTTCTGAAACCAGACAGCCTCGTTGCAGTGAGCAAAAAAAGCTCTCAGCAATACATTCCAATGCCTTTCAAATAAATGAAGTTGTAATAGCCAAAAATACACAGTAAGATACTTTAAGTATTCAAATGTACAATATAATTATGCAAGAGCTATATGCCTCCTCCTCTTGTAAAGAATAATGTGTATCTAAGCTATTATAGATGCTTATTTTGTGGATGGAGGCAAATAGTTCTAAATGTTATTTACATTATTTTAATACCCATTCTGAAGTCAAGAAGCAACAAAAAAGGGAGAAAAGGAAAGGAGGAAGAAAAGGGTGAAGGAAGGAAAAGAAGGAGTCAAATGTATAAAAGATGATTTATCAAGAGCTCTGTAATGTTTTGAACAATCAATAAAAATAAAAAATAAAAAAAGGAAAAAAAAGAAAGAGAAAATGGGAAAAGAGAGAGAGGAAGAGGAGGACAAACAGAAAGAAAAAGGAAGGAGAGTAGAAAAAAAAACAGGAGTCCAAGAGGATCTGGAGAGAGGAAAAGGAGGAGGGAAGGGAGAAGGGAGAGAAAGAAAGGATGGAGGAGAAGGGAGAAAGAAAGGAGAAGTTAAAAAGTATCATATATGTATATCAATATGTATATAGATGCTAAGACATTAATTCTTAGACTTCCACAACAAAAAACATGATATTTTAAAACTGCAAAGGATAAAGTACTAAAACCAGATGTCATGCTTGGGACAATAGTTGGGTTTAACTAAGCCTCTTCTACAGATATACACTACAGGTATATACTGGGTATACACTGGGACTAAGGAACAAGGCCTAAATGGTGCCTTTGACTCTGCAACTGTGGCTCCTCTAAACTGGCTCAATCCCACTGGCTACAACAGGATCTCCCTGAGGCAGATTTTCAAAGGAATGCAGGAGGCTGTGCTTATTGGGCTCTGCATACCCTTGTATGAGATGTCTGTGTACTTTTGGTTGTTAAGTTCATTCATTTTAATCGTTTTCAAAAGGCATTTATATGCTTTCTTATAATTAAAAGACCAAATTCCTTTAAATAAGAAAAAAAAGTTTATAATTATCTGGAATAAGTACAATAGTCTAAGAAATACAGTTAACTGCTTTAAAGCTTTAGTATGTACTGTATGGTCAAAGACTTTGTACCCTCAGGCAGTATAGTACTATCAAATATAAAATTTCCAAAATATACATATAGATTTTTCAAATACCTGTTTGTTTTTATAAAGGAATATATATAGCACACAGCTTGAATTAATTCTATCTCAAAAAAATTAAATAGAACCTATATATATTTTTCAGTCTGCACACAGTGTTTGAATTCAAAACAGTTCAAACTATGATGAAGAAATCCATTTTTCAATGGAACATTTTGGCCCATAACATATGGATAAAGAGAAAAAATTACTCAGTATTTCTTTTTAGTCAATCAGAATTTAAATCAAATGTTTACATAAAATTCAACATGTATTTAAATTTTAAATGAATAGATACATTTAATGATAAATGAATAAACTTTTGAAGCTTATTATTTACCATGACAAAAAAAAAAGAACACTTACATGCTTTCCTCTCCTACAATGCACACAGCGGAAAGGAGCTTAACCACATCTGTCATCATACTGGGGTGCTTGGGATCCATGGCTTTGGCCAATAAGGAAAGACTCCTTTCTTCACTCATAATTCTTTCTAAGCCATACTATATTATTTTGGAAACAAGAAGTTAAATATTAGGAGTTAATTGAAAAAAACATGCCTAAATTGAAATGCAGTTATTTAGAAATTTTTATAAGAATACATTCTTACAACTAGTAAAGTCTGAAAACATGCATGCCTGTAGCACATTAAAAATTCACAAAAGTATTCACATTATGTCAAGAATTGTGAGGCTATACCAAATACAGAGAACACAAGAGTAAAATGAGATGTTCCAACAGCTAAACAGACCATACTAAAACAGACACTGAGGTCATGAGGAATTTATTCCTGGGCAAGAAGGCTGGTAAGAGAGCTGTATGCATAAGTAAGCACACAGCACTGTTGAAGAGAAACACAAGGCAAACCACATTGTTTGCAGTAAGCTATCATTTTGAACCAATAAGTAAAACTATTTTCAATAAAATTAATCCACTATAATAAAATCATTTCAGCATATAAAAAATGTCAAACATTCTATTGATGAGAGGTTTCACTTTTTTCTTCCTATTTGAAATCCAGGTGTATTTTACAGCACTTCTCATTTCAGATTAGACACATTTCAAGCCACATTTGACTACCATATTATATTGTCCAGGCCTAGAGAGTCACACTATATTTATAAACCAGCAAAAGTTGAAGGACAATCTGAGGAAGGTCCCATGTAGAAACTGCCTTAGCAAATGTTGTATCCTAATCACAAAGATAGTAATCATCAAGAAGGCAATGCAGTTGTAAACACAAATGTTAATTTGGGATGAGGGTCATCTATTTGCTGCTGCCAGGACATGACATCCAATAAGAAAATGAGGAGCTATATTAATGACATGGTGGTTTAAGATTGTATACATCTCTTGGGCCTATTTATAATCTATCTGTATAAGTGTCAAAAAAATAGGCTGAACAAAAGCAATTGAATAATACCATTTACCTATCATTCATCTCAAAGGATTCCTCTAAGGAAGAAGAAACTGGTTGATCTGAGACACGACTAGGCACTAAAAAGAGGCCTTGATTCCAATTAGAAACCTATCAACTATGACTTGAAATTAGCAGTACATATAAGCACCAAAGTCAAAGCATAACAAGTTTAGACCCAAATGCTTTGACTGTTATAAAGGCCTATTTATAACTTTCTTGCCTTGCATCTGACATTTCTGTAAAGAAACCTTCACACTGTGCCAAAATATTGCATTCGCTTTAAACCACTAAGAAACACAGGTACAGTGGAGAAAGTACAAGCCAATGGATGGGCCAAGTACCCCAGACTTTCACAAAGACTTCTCTGTCTCCATTATGGGAGAATGTTTACAGAAACAGCTAAGCCAGTCATGAAATGCTCACTTCTGTGATGCCCAGGACTGGAAACAGAGCAAAACAGCAGGCATTGGAACAGAAACTACAACATGCCTTGATAATCATATGAATTTTCAGCAGATTATAAAGTACCATTTAAATCTGGTTCACAAGGTCAATCAGTCAATGATTACCAAGAACCAAAGAGCTCAGTTTGTACTAAAAATCCTGAGGATTAAGAAAAGCTTGTACCTAGCATTTCCCCTTTATATCCCACCTACCTGGCTGCCCTTAGCCAGTGTCTATCATTCTTAATCAGAACCATGTAGCTCCTCCAGCCATTCAAGATGACTCATGGTGATGTCCTTCAAGTGGTACTACCTACTTTCTCTGCAAAACCCTCTGACTCTTAAAATAGTGTGTGAGAAGGATAGAATATAAGCATTTTCTGATTTCATGGCATTAACTGTCATCTTGTGGCTCCAAAGACCCATCACAGGCAGTATCCTCTGATTTGATTCATGTAAAAATGTGTAGTGCTCAGTTTAATGGGATTGGAATGAGGCCTGATTGCCACTATTCAGTATCTATAACTAAATAGAGAAATACCACCAACTTGTATAAAGTTACTCTCAATTATATATAAAATAAAAGCAAAGAGAAACCAAAACTATTGACTCTACATGCAAAATGGCCAACTTACCAGTGATAGCAATTAAAGTGCTTTTAATGAAGGCTATTATAGGCTACAGAGGTGTGACAAATTTTGGAAGATCTAAGGATGTAACTTTCTAAATGTCAAGGAACCACTCTGGGTAATATAACTGGCCTGTTCTAAACTGAGACCAATGCCAGGTTCCCTGTGCATTCTACATAAGGCCCATTATTACCTAACAGAATTTCAGGCCATTGAAGATGATGTTTTAGGTAGGATATGATATTCTTCAAAATATGATCCACATACCAGTTTGATTTGAAAAAAAAAATGTACCTTGTATTTGTCTCTACTTTCAGTCTATCACAAGTAAAACTTCTAATTTCTATATTCTCACTTCAGAAGGAGTCTCCTAAAGCAGTGCTATGAACTCAGTAGGAAAATAAATCTCCCCATCATCAGTTTTTGAAGAAATGTTAATAATTTAAGTACTAGTACTTAAGTATGTAGTCTAAAGTTTATTTAAATAGAATAAGGCAAAATGTCATACATTGAAATTAATCAGAAACATACAGAGTTTGCATGCAACAAATATCAGCAAACACCATCAATAAAATTTTCTTCTCTGAGGTCCAACAGCAACTAAAATGTGCAGTACTACTTCACTCATTGTGAAGTATACATACTTAGATGTTTAAACTAAAGGAATGTCAGGGATTAATGTCAATTTTGATTGTCAACAATGCATGGAAGAAAAAAAGAAATGTGTCAGATAAATGCAACTTCAGTAAAGAACATAAAACATCTCTCCTTTCTAATGTATTATCTTTAAATATGAAAATCCTACAGATACTCCATATTACATGTGGTCTCAATATTATTTGTATTGACCAAGACTGCTCCATTTCTGGAATCTTCTCAGACCTGTTGACATTAATTTCATTATAGATTATAATTCCCTGGAATGTGTAAAAGTGCTAAGTTGTTCCAACTTGAATCCTTGGTAATAATTATCATTACACTATTTTTTAAATAATCAAGTTTTAATAATCATCTATTATTCTAAGTTGGCTAATTCTGTATTTTTGAAAATTAAGAGGATGAAAGAAAAGAAGGGATTTAAAAACGAGAAGGGGGAATGAAAGAAAAGAGAGAATTTATCTACATATGAGGATTTATTTACACATCATAAAAGGTCCATTCAATCCCAAGTGTCTCATGTTGCAGGATAGTTTGTTTTATACAAACTTGGAATCCAATTCAATATCTCCATTATGTACTGAAAAGCATATGAGAACAATACATCTCTTGAATGCAAATAAAACCCTATATTACAAATATCTAGTTCATATAAGAATTGATGATGGTCAAATACTAATTATCTATGTGCATACCTGTGTATTCATCAAGGCCTTTAGACACTGTATGACTTTGTGTTGGTTCTTCTTTACAACTTTTTCTTGGCTGTATAAACATAAAAAATACCAGTATTGGAATTAAAAGGGGAAATGCAAATATAACTGAATTGGAAATTTTTTGCAGTACTTACATTTTTCCACTAATCAATTTTTCCAAAATGTCTAGTAATAATCCAAGTCCCTCATGTCCAAAGCTTTCCACCCAACTGAAAAATGGAAAAAGGTAGGGTTACACATTAAGTCACTACTTGAGTTTACAATGTCATGATAATGCCTATACACACAAGGATTTTTTGCTTGCTGTACTCAAAATCATACATACACACATAAGAATAACAACAAATACAAAATCATTTATGATTCATAATCTTTCATAGTAGAAGAAGGGGCAATATGGGATAAGATGGTGAAGAGCAACTCAGCTTGCACAGGCCTGATACAGCCTATCTCTTCCATGTTCCATGTTCAACAGCATTATGTTAGTATCCTGAAGATATCCCCAGCCATAACAAGTATCTACATCACAGAAACTTTCAAAACCACCAGAGTTTCACCCACCCATTCACCTAGATCAGGCTATAAAACATTTATCAGCACACCACTTGATAAACCCCATCATGGACTATTTCAAAATGGGCAAATGAATGAAGATCTGTAGAGGAAAGATGCAAACTAAGAAAAATATTACTGACAAAAATTGTCAACATAATAAAAAGGATGCTGTACAAGAATTTCACAAACTACTAAAATGCAGCTTACTGAATGTTAAGAATTTCCTAAGTTTCATAGTTGACTTGCATAAAATTATTTTTAATGAATATTTCCATCCTGATAAAATTGCAATTATTCTGTAAAACCACTAATCCAATCATGACATTTGAGTAAGACACTGTAACTACTACACAACAACTTACCTTGAACATAGAAAAACCACCTTGATAAAAATGAATAGCTTATTTCGCTGGTGATTTGGAAACCTACACAAATAATACAATGATAATAATATATCTCCAAAAAAAATTAGGTGGGGGAAAAAAGCTATACTAGGATTCACAGGTGTATATTTGTTTGTATGTAAGACTTTATATGTGCATACAATTTGAATAATAAAATGTTAGAAACAAAATTTCATCAAATTATCAAAAATAGAACATCACAAAGTATAAAAACAAGTTTGTGTAATTCACATGCCATAATATTACTTTGTTGTTTATTTCAGGTACAACATTTCCAATTAAACAAGAGTAAAAGGTATGATCAAAACAGCATGATATTGGCATAAAAACAGACACATAGACCAAAAGAAAAGCACAGACGGCCTAGAAGTAAACCTAAAAATTAACAACAAACTAATTTAAAATAAAAGTGCTAAGGATATGCAATGGAGAGAAGGTCTTTTCAATAAATATTGCTGAGAAAACTAGGGAATTCTTATGCACAAGAGTGAAACTAGACTCCTAACCTCTCACCGTTTAGAGAAAAAAATCAATTCTAAATGGATTGAAGACAAAATGTAAGACTTGTGTTATGGTTTAGATGTGAGGTGTACCCCCAAGAGCTCAAGTGTGAGACAATGCAAAAAAGTTTGGAAGAGAAATGATGAGGTTATAGCTTTAACATAATCAAAGACTTAATCCCAGATGGGATTAATTGAGTGGGGTCTGGAGGCCATTTCCTCTGGGGACTTGGCTTTGGGGTTGGGGAGAATGTTCATATCACTAATCATGAGGAGAATACAAGTCAAATCCAGAATGAGATATCACCTCACTCTAGTACAAATGGCTACTATCAAAAATACAACAACAAGTGCAAAGTGCAACAAGGGCAAAAAAACTACAAGACAAAGATATGAAGTAAAGAGAACCTTCACAAGCTCTTGGTAGGAGCAGCTAGTAAGCACAATCATTATGGGAACAGTATAGAGGTTCCTCAGAATTTCAAAACCACAACTACCACATGATCCAGCAATCCCCCTGCTGGGTATATATCCAAAGGAAATTAAATTAGTGTGTCAAAGTAACATCTGCATTCCCATGATTGTTGCAGCACTATTCACAATAACCAAGATAGGGAAACATCTAAGTATCCATCAGCTGAGGAATGGATAAAGAAGATATGGTACATATACACAATGGAATACCATTCAGCCATTAAAAGGATGAAATCCTGGCATTTGTGACAGCATGGATGGAACTAGAGATTATTAAATGAAAACAAGCTAGGCACAGAAAGACAAACACTTCATGATCTCACAAATAGGTGGAATGGAAAAGAGTTGATCTCACAGAAGTAGGAAATGGAAGAGAGCTTACAGTAATTGGGGAGAGTAGAGGGAATGCAGAAATGTTGATCAAGGGTACTAAGTCACAATTGAGGCAGAACAAGAACTCCTGCTGTGCTCTTGAACAAGACGGTAACTACAGATAACAATTATAAACTCTGTACCTTCGAAAGCCAAAAAAATTTTGAAATTTTTTATAAGCATGCCTGTAATCCCAGTAGCTTAGGAAGGTGAAGCAGGAGGATCACAAATTTAAAGCCAGCCTCAGCATCTTAGCAAGGCCCTTAGCAGCAATTCAGCAAGGCCCTGTCTCTAAAATATAAAAAGAGCTGGGGATGTGGTTCAGTGGTTAAGAGCCCCTGGATTCAATCTATGGTACCAAAAAAAAAAAGAAAAGATATAGAAATTAACCTGATTTAAACATTTCACAATATACATATGAATTAAAATATCACCATACCCTATTATGTGTATAATTTTTATGTTCCTCTGTATGTGTATGCATTTTAAAAATTCAGTGCTTAAAATCCATTTTCTTCATTTGCACTCTGAAACACAGCTTGCCCACCTACAAATTTTCAGAATTTGATATTACAAAAAAAATCTAAACAGCATATTTCTTGCCACTTATATTGACACTCCCCTGTCAAGATTTTATTCATCTATTCTCTATCCAGGAAAAGTCACAGAATAACTAATTCAAAAATGCACAAACATAAGTGAGACACTCCCTGCAAAGGACTGAACCCTGCCTGCTATTATAACTAAAACAGTTAAATAGATGTTTCTGTTTCCAATCAAGATGCTACTTCAAAAAAAGAAGAGTTACTCTCCATTATCAGTAACAGACAGACTGCCTGTAGGCATTTCATATCTTGCTTTAATGTCTCATGAGAACACCTAAGCATCTGCTTAACTGTTTGCCTTGTTGACATTCTATTTTGTATTTATTCTTATTTCACATGCAGCAGAGAAGCTTAAAATCAAACATATAAGGAATCATTTGAGAGCTGACTTAGTTGGTATTGAGATGCATAGAGAATCTGTGCTCTTCGGCTCCCAAAAGTTAGTACTTTCCCAGTGGGCCTTCAATATTTTGTTTGGAGTGAATTTTCAACCACTCTATATTCAATGTATATCCATAAATATATTCTAAAGCTAATATAGTTTCAGATTATTCATACTGCTACCTTCAATGTGCACAATAAAATTAATATTCACAAAACTGCCTTATACCAAAATATACAAAGTGATTTTAAATTATGTTAGTACAACAAAGACTTTTTTGCACTAATTTTGCTTATGTTGTGAGCCACTATAAAATGTATTAAAACATGCCAATCCATGTAAATCGGTAAGGCTCTCTGATCTGAGTAATTAAAAATACAACATAGCCATTTAAAATTTATCATTCCTAACTTAATAATTATAACTAGAATAATAGGACCCCAATCAACTATTTCTAAACCCAGTATATACCTCTCCTTTAAACTACAGAATATAAATCATTAAAATAAAATTTACACCTACTCATGTATATTACATGTAAACTAATTCTCTATCAAAGAAAACTTTTTAAAGTTCCATGTGAAGAGAAATAATACCAAATTTATTTATATTCCAGGTTTAAATTTGCTGTGGGAATTAATCTTTCAACAACAAAATCAAAGAGGTGGGCAACACTATAAAGTATAATCAGGTTACACATTACATTTCATTAGAGATACCAAAAACAACAAAAGTGTGACAGGGTGCAGCAGTCTGGCTGGGCACAAATCATGAGCCACTCAAGCAGGAACAAACTTTATTTCTGAACTCACTTGAATGCCACCCACGCGGCCCTTCCAGGTACACCACACACCAACCGAACTCCCTCAACCAGAACTCCCCAGGAACTCCAAAGTAGCAGGTGCCTGAGGGGGACAACAGGGGTCTATATACAATTGAATACACAGCTTAACATAACCATCAATCTCAATGGCTCCCCTCTCAACCATTACTTCTGGCAAAATGCCAGGGGCCATTCTGAGTGTGGCTCTCAACAACAGGGTACATAAAGAGGACACAAACTGTTACTAAATAAAACATTTAAACATTAAAACACAAACTAAATATGCGTTAAAATTTTCCATATTTTAAGACTTGTGAGGCCAGCATATTGCTTAGCAAGCTGTCATTCACAAATCCAGCTTCTCAGTGGTTTCACCCACCCCTATTATTTTCAACAATATTATTTTTAAGAATGGTGTAAAAATATCACTTCCTATCTTCTGGAAAGATGTTCAAGATAATAAAGGATACTGAGTAGGCTGATCCACAATCTTGACAGAGGTTTATTGAAAACCATAGCTTTCTCCAAAAGTAAAAATTTTGTCATCATCAGTGTAAGAAACAACCTAGGAAAAAACTGTAAACTGATCTATAAATGATCAATCTTCAGGTAATAAAATCTATACTATTTGCCTTTTGTCAGCACAGCACCATCAGCATTTTGTGATTTGACCATAAACTGTATTCATGGTTGAATAAGCACTGTGTTAATACTGTTTCTTCATGAATAGAAATGAGAGATCAGTATGATATTTGTATTGGAAAACACCAAAACACAGCATGCTAAATGTTAATTTAACACAAAATGTGCCGTGTGTGTGTGTGTGTGTGTGTGTGTGTGTGTGTGTTTGTGTGTGTGTATGTGTGTGTGTGAAAGAGAATAGAGATTACAATCATAGGTCCTCTACCACTGAGCTACATTCCCAGTACTTTTTTATAATGTTGCTAAATTTTAATTCGAGACAAGGTCTCACTATGTTGCTGAAGAGCCCTTGAACTTGCTTGTGATCCTTCTACCTCTGCCTCCCACGTGGTTTGAGATGACAGGCATGACCCACCAGGACGGGTTAAAATCTGCCTCTTAAAATTCTATAA